ATCGAATACTGCATACAATGGTTTGTTAATAGTTGTTAGGGTCTAGGTGTTAGCATACAGGTGTTTATCGACCCAACCTGTTCCTAAATCAGATGGAAAACTTGGTTAAGCTGGTAAGGTTTGGCTTGCAGAGTTAGCGAAGTTTGTTTAGCTGATTTGGTAAGTTTGGCTCAAGGCTGATGTAGGGGGTTCTTGTCAGCAGATAGTCATGTGCATTGTCTCTCTCTCTCGTTGACTGGAACAGAGTCTCAGGGTCATTTCTCTCTCGTCTCCCTGAATTCACTTTGTGCATTTGTATTTATTGCTATCTTCCAAAAACTCGTGCAGGGGATGGAATTGGTATTTTCCTCCACCAGTCATCTTCAATGATTTTGGTCCTGAAAAATTAATTATTTCTCAATTTGAGAGTCTCCTCCTTTTCTTGGATAATGGCTGTAGGCTTTATTCCGCCCACAGCTTCTTTTTCTTCCTTTTAGCATCTCTTGCTAATGCTCCTCAGTGGGCATGAGCAGCTCCTTCACCCTCCTTGATGTCTCTTCTGCACCTGTCACCTCTACCATTCAGTGAAGACTAATTTTAAAAAAATTATTATTCAAAAATACTATCACCTTATAAGTGAACTGGTCTGAAAGTTGAATAAATAATTGGCCTTCTCGCCCTCGACCCAGAGTCCCTTTCCTAGGGAAAAATCTTGCAACTTACATTATGGTGACAATCATTCAGCTGAATGTCAAGATATTGCCGTGTGTTTATATATATATATATATATATATAAAAAGACAGGTAGTTATTGTTTTCATTCCTAACATCTTTGCAGAAAGATTTTATTTCCTTCCTGTCCAAAATCAAATACTGGACACTTGGCTCTCATGTCCTTTGGTTTTCTTTTTATTGCATCCATATTTAATAGTCATTCTCAATGAATTTTCTGGTTTGATTTTCCAATATTTCCTTGGTTGTTTTTCTTTTCTCAAATTTCAGTCATGTCGACATTATGAAAGATTAGTATAGTACCCATCAAAATTGGCACTAGTATTTACTGTATGTTCTGCCTTGGGTCAAACTCATTCCCCAGCTCTCTGCCAAGGATAAAAGTGTAGTATCTGTTCACCTAAATTTATAAATTTTGTTTTTCAGTCAATATAACAGACATGTCGTTTGCTTCCACATTTGACATGTTAATGGCAGGATTCACCTGTTCATTTTAGAGATGTGTTCAATTTAATGTGATGAAAGACAGAGACAGAAAAATAAGTAATTTTAATCATTATTATACACAAGGAATTAAAATATGTCCTTGCAAGTGTTGTGTTTTCACAAGTGAATCTTTAAAATGAATTGCTACTGCAAGGGAGATAACTCTAGAAGGGTTTGTTACAGAATAAAAACTGTGGCAAACAGTGGTCAACGAGTGGCCAGTTTGGCTTTTAAAGTGGCACGCCTAATTTCATAAAAGACAAAAAAAATTCAAATTTTGTTTCATTCTCATTTGTTCTCCCCCACCCCATGATCACATGCAATGCTTATTGAATTTTGTAACTTTATTGACTGTAACATTTTCAGCATTTTTAAACTATTGGCAATTTTCTCTAAGGATGATCATCATGTGTAAACACCTTTTTTTTTTTTTTTAGGAATGTTCATATTTTTTTGTATAGACAAAAAAATATGCATTTACCATCATCAGTAATATTAAACTAAAGTTTCAATTTTTTTTATAGCAAAATCTTTTCTCAAAAAAAAAAAAAAAAAAAAAACACACACACACACACAAAGCCAAACTGTCGCCCCCTCTGCCATTTCTAAGGCTGATGCTTCCACATATGATCTTCTGTACTGAAAATGGCAGAGGAAACATCAATGAAAAATTACCTTGAATTTTTTTTAGTAGTACGACCCACTTTATAATGAGCTATGTCATGCAGCCCACTAGTCAAAAAAGGTAACCCATATCTGGTTATTCTGACAGAAGTGTTTTTCCTGCTATGCAAGTTTTCTACAATACATTTCAAAAACAATAAAACTAATCTGTCTATATTTCTGAGATGAGGTATCATGTACACTATTTACATTATTCAGACTATTGTCCGCATCTTTGTCGCCATATTTATTACGTTTCAGCCCCTGTATGCTCCAGCCTTCATCAGGTGGTTGGAATGTTGAACTGAATCCTTTATTTTGCTCACTGGGGTAGACTGTTCTAGTTCCACATGCCATGGCACAGTGGAATAAGGCGTTGGTTAGATCCAGTGACAGGACCCAAAGAGTGTGAGTTCAATACCCGGTTAAGGCAGTGGAGAACTTTCAGAGGGAAAATTAACAGGAGATAACTGATATCCATTAAACATGGCATGTGGAACTCGAACAGTCTACCCCAGTGAGCAAAATAAAGGGTTCAGTTCGACATTCCAACCACCTGATGAAGGCTGAAACATTGTAATAAATATGGTGACAAAGATGAGGACAATAGTCCGAATAATGTAAATAGCGAAAACTTTGGCAATGTTTAACCATTGTGCCTGCAAAAAAAAAAAAAAAAAAAAAGGAAGGAGGTGTGTGTCAAAAGGATGCTTTTTATCTTGACACCATTATCACTTGACTTTCTCGGCAATGTTTGTTTACAAGTTTATGAAAATATGTGAACCAAGTACAATGTGATATTTATTATTTACCAGTTTATAAACTAATAAGTTTGAAAAGAAATCTTTTCATTCAAAATTTTATAAAATATGTAAACCAACTACAATGCAACATTTATTATTTATCATATAAATAACTCTGAAAACAATTTTTTTATTCAATCTAATAAATAGTATTTAACATCTTTGTTGTCATTTCTCTAGAATAAAGAAAATGTATAAATCCAATTTCATGTGTTTGGGTTTTGTCAAAATTCTAATCATTGATTTTTTTAAAAACAAACATTGTTAAAGGAGTCAAAAGTCTATATAGTAATTGCAGTGCCAAGGGAATCAGTGTTTGGGGGGGGGGGGCACAAAGGTTAAACATTGCCAAAACTTTTTTTCTTTAATATTCCCTGAAATATGGGTGGGCCAATATGTACCGTCATAAACAGTATTTACAAATGCTAAACTGAATATGACACAAAGCCTCAAGTGTTGGATGCCCAGTGAAAATCCAATTCCCTACACAGGAGCAACAAATCTGCTCAACTACCATACCTGTCTGGCACAAGGCTACAAGTCTGGATCAGACTCGCTCTATAGTAGGAGCAAACCTTTTGATTAGTCACTTGCTAATCATTGCTCTATGACAAGGAGAGTGAATCATTTTTAAATTTAATATTCTTCAGCTCAGCCCCACCCCGTTTTTGATTGGGGAGGTTTTAAAAGCATCCCATTAAAAACAAGGCTTTCAATGGGACACTTAAGTTTCTCATTAAGAAACAGGGTTTTCAATGGGGGTGCTTTAAAAAAAAAAAAAAAAAAGCAGTCCATTTAAAAACATGGCTTTTAAATTATGATCTCAGCTGATATTCTACTGGAAAAAAAAAAATGTCTCCTTCCATCACTATGTGGAAGGCTAAAAAAAAAAAAACAAAACCATTATTTTGGGTGGGGGGAGAAAGGAGTTTTAAAATATCTTTTTGTTTTATGATCAATTAAAAATTGTTCACCTAAATTTTGGGCTTAAGCTTGGAAAAAAGATGGCAGTTTATTGAATTAAATATTTCATGATGTCATCGGTCAGACGCTTTTGGGTCAAAAGCTTCTTGCCCAAAAACGTATAACCGTGGGAGACAAAAGAAACAATTCATGCTGATAGGTTAATGTGACCTTCATCTGCTGTAAATATATTGTAAAATTCTTGTAATTGGTGAAGAAATAAAAAGAAAAAAAAAAAGTTTTTGTACAATTCATTGAATTTGTTTCTTTTTTGCTGAAACAAAATGAAAGTTTGTCATCTTATTTCTATTTTGTACATAAAGTTTTGTCAATTGGTATTTCTTTCATCTTCTTTCTCTTGCTTAAGACTATTACTCCCACATAGTCTTAAGTTGTCTGAATTTCTTTATTGCAAGTCTCAGACTGAATACCTGTAACCAGTAAGTAATTAAAATAATTCAGCTAAGACAAATACACTTTGTAGGATCTTGCCCAGTATTTGGGTTGCTTAATTTGCTACACAAGAATTGGCACTGAAGTTGCTTTCATTTTTTTTATGCTTTCTAAGTTATATCAATTGTATATTTTGTTAAAAATTATGAGCCTGACAATCATAATATATATAAATTTACTAATAATTTCAGTTTTCCTATTTTAATTTTCTGATGAATCTTAAGTTAATGATTGAATAAGTTTATGGCAAGTTTTAAAAAAAATAAAGTATCTGTAAATATTCCTCTATCACTAAATATTTGAAAAATCAAAATATATCTTCTTTTTTTTTTTAATCATTTCACCCCAAGCAAGGTGAGAATGTGGGGAGTGAAAGAAAATGAGAAGATTTTAGTGAAAAAAAAAAAAAAAAGACAATAAAGAAACAGATTTCAGAAAGATGATTATGATTGACATTGCATTTACATTTTTGAAGACTGTGGGTGGCAGGGAAGCAAGAAATCAGAAAAGAGTTTCACAGGCAAGAAAAACTATTAGAATAGAATTGATGGTTACACAGTGAGACCTAATTGCCAATCCAGTCACGTGCTGAAATTCATGCAGTTAAGCCACTTAAGAGAAAAACTCTTAAGAAAAATTTAGTTTCATATTTTCAGACTGTCTCTCCAATTGAAGCTGATAGTTTATCTGCGTCAATTTATTATTCTTTGATTGTCAATTGCTGACTTCAAGGGGACACTACTCTATATACATTCCTGATGACAAAACGAAAAAGAGAAACTCGATTCAATCGTTTATTGATTTTCTTTGTTTATCAAATGACAACTAAGTTTCTTTGAAACAAAAAAGGAATTTCATAAAATTCGAAGGAGTCAACAAAGGACTTCAACTAATACTTTGCATATTGTCTATTAATGTTACTTGTATAGTTCATCAAGATATGGAGTTTTAGAAAGGTCACCAATGGCAGCCATGGATGGTTTTCCGTTGATAATCTTTTTGGCAACCTAACAAGAGAAAGAAAAGACAAAAAAACAAATTAGCAATGAAAAAAGAAGCAATTAAAAACAAAACAAAAATATAATAAAGCATAATGTAAAAAAAAAAAAAAAATTGTGAAAATTAATAATGAAATTGGGTCAGTGCTCATGAAACTGAGAAACTGATAGATTAACTAAATATAGAGTTATAGGTAAACCAGTAGGGTTTTTAGTATGTAAATATTTCGTCACAAATTGCACAAGCTCCCTAGGCACTTCCCCATTCAGGTGCTGGGTAATAACCTCAGCCCCATCATGAAGGAGGAGTACTGCTTGGAGGGGAGGAAATGGACCCTAGCGGCTTGAGCTAATATTAATTTCAAACTACCCTGGCTGATGTCAGGGAATAAAAAAGTATTGCTCAAAGGTTCTCATACACTTGTGGCATTTTTTTTTGGGGGGGGGGTCCACAACTGATTATAGAGATTGAACCTTACACAGTGATGATAACCAATAACTGTGTTTGGTTACTAATAGTAATATATCAACTGCAGTCAAGATTACAGAGTCACTGAATTCTATGATGTTGTCCATGCCTGTATACAGTTTTGAATTCAGAGTTGTCATTCTCCTGTACTGGCTGCCAACTCTGCCCTGTTATTTAACCCATAACTTGGGGGAGGGGAAGATAGCTTCATATCTTTTACAAGTGTATTTGCACAAAAGCAAACAATAAACTCAGTTCATCTATCCAGTTTTTTTCCCATCACAGCCAATCTGACATTAATAAGTCAATAATCTTGTTGATGGCTGCATCAGTGTATGTCTTACATCGGCAGAGTTATATATGGTTTTGAATTTAGAATTGTCCTTCTACTCAACTGGTTGCCAACCACAGTCTGCCTGGTTATTTAACCCATATAACTGGGGCAGGAGAAGAGACAGATTCACACATTTCATGAGGGTATTTGCACAAAGGTGAATACAAAGACACAAAAAGTATCAGTCAAACATTGATTCAGGTTATTGGTCAAATTTCTTTTGGCTACTATTTCAGTGCAACCATACAACAGGGCCTCAGATTTTCATCAACCAGACACACAATGCCACCTTGTGTTTCTATTTTTGTCAATATTGATGTGCACAAAAACTGGGAAAGTTCCATTGCATGTTCGCAAAGGGAACAAAAAGTGAAAATAAATGCTACAGCAAGAAATGAAGACTTGAACCCTGTATCCAATATATTTCATTGTTTATTCCAGGTATCCACCTGCACGGTCGGAATGGGTAAGTAGGTGACTCTTGGGAATATCTTTTGCCACTTCTGACATCTTAAACTAACAGACCAACATTTTCCCCTTAACCAGAAATATGAATTTATCCTATCAATTCTCTGTCCATCTTTAAATAATGTGTGGCTGGCAACTTTCTCTGGACGGGCAGCATGGACCCAACCCAGAACTACTTTAATCCCTATTATGATTTAATATAAGCCTGTGACTGGAAGTCTTCAATATCCGGTTTGTTGTCACTTGTTTCCAAATGTTTTCATTTATTATTTTATTCTCTTTTGGTCAAGTGGGTGGCCACTTTGAAGACCCTACTTTCAGGCTTTACTTCTGGCCATAAAAACAAGAAAGAATTAAGACTGAGGCCGTCCCAATCAGTATTACAACTATTCTCCAGCATTCCATAGGTACACAGTTGGATATGGAGACAAGTCAGGTTTTGTCAGTAGTGAATGCAGGAAAATGCTAAGTTATAGAAGACGGATTGGTTTAAGCTGTTGTGGAAGAAGTAATTGAAACACAAAGAATGAGATCAATAATCTGACCAAAACTCTTGGAATGATAATGACCCTAAAAGTATAACACAAAATATTAGTAAAATAAACAATGTATATTATTAGCCATATTAAATCATTATTATTATTATTAAATATTATTATCCATATAAAATGAAAGAAAGATGCATAATTAAACACAAAAAAAAAAAATCAACAGCTTTTTTTAGCTCTTAAAATCCTGTTGAAAACTTAGCAATGATGCTGAATAGATATGTTCTTGTGCCTTCAGGACATTGGCGACCATGGCTCTCCACAATTTCCTGTTCTTTGTATGTCTTAATAAATTTTATCTTTTTGTTATCTCTCTTAAACCCTGTTCTGCCATCCATTTAAACAGGCTCATTCTTCATCTATGTGCCATGTCACTTAAGGATGTTGGTGATCTTGGCTCTCCACATTTTCCTGTCCTTTGTAGCTCTTAATAAATTTTATCTTTTGTTATCTCTCTTAAACCTTGCTCCACCATCAACTTAAGCTTGTTACATAGGCCATGCATGGTTTTCTTCTGGAACCTTCAATCCATTCTGGGAGTATCAAATTTTCCAAGCCCTCTTTCCTCATTACATGCCCTAAAAAATTCAATTGATGTTAAATATAAGTGTCCTTTTTGCTTCCATTTTCTCTACAACTTTGTCATTGCTTACATGTTCAGTCCATGGTATTCTCAGCATCCTTCTGTAGAACCACATTTCTGTTCAAGTCCCTTCTTCATGTGTGAGGACATTGTCCAACATCTGACAATATAGAAGGACCAATTAAAGCAAGGAATTCGAGTAATCTCACTCGTTAAAGAGGTCATCACTTCCTTTAAAACAAATGTAAACAAGGTTAGTTTGATTTGTGAAATATCATATCTTTCAGAAGTGGCTGGACAAAGCAATGATATGCAGAACCATGCTGTACAGGATGCTAAGAGTTAATTAAAATAGAAATCCATCGCTTCAGTTGGAAGGACTGCATCACTAACAATGTGGTCCTCTTTTGGCTAACAAAGGCCGACATCAACTGAGATCTGGGAAATTGTTATTGCAAATCAGCCTTGCTAGCTTAGGATTATCCACCACAGGGTGGATGACTGAGACTTTTGAGTTTAGCTGTCAACATTAAGAGGATCTGCAATGTGCTGTCAGGAGGACCCGATTCACCAAGCTACATCAACCACCCACACTCTTCTGACTCGTGCTCACGACTCTTCAAAAGTAAGCTGGTCCTTTACAGCCATCCCCACCACCAGTGGGGAGAAAGGGTATAGGGAGAGAGAATGATGAACACAATGCTCAGAAGCAAGTGGCTGGCAATGACAACAAAAACAGAAAATTGAAAATTAAGACAGTAAAAAAAAAAAAAAAAATATTGAAAATGTCAAAAAAGAAAAATTCAAAATGACTGACCAAATTAACATCTTCTGCAGTGATCATGTCAATCTGATCAATGAAAGCATCAACATCAGCCAAGCCACCAGCCATCAACAATTGTTGACCCATGTCTTCAAGAATCATGTCAGTGTGTTCAGCCTGCATCAGGACGGCAGCCTTCAATTGATTCCTGACAAAAAGAAATTCATCCAAGTGAGAAAACATTAAAAATGGCCAATCCAAAAAGGAAAACTCAACTTTCAGAAATTGAAAAGGAAGGTTTATGTAGTTTAAATTCGAGAGACTGTCTTAAGTAGACGTTAATTCTGAGTGACAAAATGTAGTTGTATTTGTCGTGTTGTTTTGCTGTTTGTAGACTAACTTCCTCTTCTCTCACCGTCTTTCGTACACTCCATATTTTAGCTTTTTCAACCAGCATCTCATGAAGGCTGTGATTTTACGTTAATTTTTGCCAGCTTAAAAACAATATGGCTTCCCCACGAGACTCTTTTTACATACAGATGCCAATGAGGTAAATTTTTTTTTTTTTAAACTACAGTTTAGTCAATTCTTATAAAAAGATGGTAGTATAAATAACAGGAATTTTAATGAAGAATTGATTGATTTCATTTTTATTAGCTTATCAACCATTTGTGGGTTATTTAAAGCCAAAAGATATTTAGAATTGTAAGAATTCTTTTTTTGAAAGTGAATATTGCATTAACAATTTTTTAAAGAATAAAAATGATTTTTCCAGATAAAAGTTCTACTATTTAACCCATAGTTTGGGAGGAGAAGTTAACAAAATATCAACAATATATATATATATATATATATATATATATATATATATATATATATATATACATGGAGCTACTGAAAAGAAACTTGTCCTACCTACCTCCCAAAATTTGATCAAAGAAATCCTACTTAATCAAGAGGAGAAAGAAAAAAAAAATGGAGGAGAAGGAAAGAATAGTGAAAAAAAAAAAGAAAATTCTTTCTTACTTGGCACGATTAATTTCTTCAGGTTTTATTCCAATCTTGGTGATTTGGGCAAATTCTTGGAAAGCAGCTTTCAGAACCTAAAAATTGAATGAAAAATACTAAATTTCACTGCCTACAAAGCACATGATAAGTAGATATTGAAGTGAACTTGAGACTCAAAAGACGTTCAAAAGCATGGAGCCTTATTGAGAGTGTAACCATTCATCATGACAGAACAAAAATCAGGATCTGAATAGTGATGAAGAAGTTGACTTCTGAGATATTGAAAGTTGCATGCCACTTATTTCCCCATTGAGCTGTTAAAGCTTGATCAGAAGTGAGATCAGCTGCAAGGCTTCAATGATCTAAGATTTGGGGAAGGGCTTCCACAAACTGTGGCCTCATCAACATAGATATTTCCTAACAATCTGGAAATGTTCCTAAAACAAGATTTAGATCACACTATTTTCAAATATATAAAAATTTAAGATTAATTTTTGAGGCTATTAACTACCTGGCAATTTCTAACCTGACATTCTGCAAAGAAAAGAAAAAAAAAATATTATAGTTTGTTATGTGATTAGAAAAACTAAAACTGTACGTGTTCTTACCTTTCCAATGTCATCCTTGTTGGTAGTGGCAGAAAATCCAAAAATTCCTCCATCAGAATAAGCTCCACTGATGCAAGAAATCTTTCCATGGAAAAAATAAATAAATATTCAAAATTCAAAGGAAGAAAGATTTAAAAACTGAGACTGGTTGGGATTCTGTTTTAATGTTTACAAAAACAATAAATGAATCAAAAATTATCTTTATCTTTTCCACCTGCTATCATTTCTTGAATTTTAAAACAAAACAGAACATGTGTGTATGTGTGTTTGTATATTTATTATTATAAGAGATTATAATAAAAACATGTTGAAATCGCTACCCAAAAGCTTTCATGTTTCAATACTATGATTGTACTTCTTCAGGCAATGGTAAGTAACTGGTGATAAAATGATTTTTAAGGAAATTTAAAAACAAAGTGTTAACCTCTTTTTTGAAAGTTAAAGCAGGAGGGGGAACATAAGGTCAGAATAAGAAATAGACTTGTGGGTTTGCCTTGATTAACCAATTAAATGACAGATCTACGTTAAATAGAAAAGTAAGCTCAGAGGGTGGAGGTGGGTGAATTATTTTTTCACGTCATGATAAACCGGAAAATAGATAAAACATCATTAATGATTGCAGAAAATATGTCAGTGACAAATGTGTGTGTGTGTGTTGTTAAGTATAACAGACAACTAATGTCTTATGTTTGTTCATGAGCCGTTCTAAGCTTCATATAGTGGCTTTATTTTGGGAGAAAATAAAGACAAAGACACACACACATATATATATATATATATATATATGGAGGGAAAAGGGAGATCGTCACCCCCCTGTAGGATGAGGCTGAAATAATAGACAGAGAGCATCACTGGAAAATATGAAAATTTAAGTTATCTGCACATATGCTAGGCCACAAAAATCTCCTGAGCCGACCAAGCATAGACATGAATGTAATATGGGAACCAGTAAGACAGAATGCTAGAGAAAAGCAATAACAAGAAAATTGTAATATAAGCTCTAGTAAAAAATGGTTACTGAGACATTAGGTTTATAAGCCCCAAAAATCCACGCATATCCTCAAGGACACCTGGCCTAGTGGATAAAAACATTAGTTGAATCCAGTGACTTGAGTTCAATACTTGGATACGGCAGTGGTTAACAAAAACTTGGAGAGTTGAGTTAAAGGGAAATAATTGAGTTTATTATGTAGAATTGGATTTAAGCAGCAATCCTTCTTTTATACAAATTTCATTAAATAAAACTGACAAGGTACTACAGTTAAGTATTTTTATTTAATTTTTCTTGTGTTCTTATAAATATTTTTCTTTTCTGGACATAAATTATGTAGACATTGTCCAAATGTTTTGTATGTCTGAGCACTTTCAGCTATATGTTTAGCCATTATCAAGGATGATTTTATTTTTACTTTTAAATGAAGGTAGGGATTGTTGTATCTAGAGTTATAGAAATGTTTTATTTTCCAAACATGGTCAGTACATTGTGGCAGTGTTCATACTTGATATTATTGAGTGTTGGCTTTTTCTTTTTTATTAATAATGCTTCCATTGTTTTTAGCCTTTTTTATATGTAGGATGAGGTTATTATGATTGTGTCATCAATTAGTATGTTGCGGATGGGGTTTGGTAGGTCTCCTTGTGTATTTAAATGAAACCCTAATTGAGCTATAATCAGAGAGATGCAACGAGTCTTCTTGTTAAACATATAGTATACCCAGTGGAGTAGTGGGTAGAGGCTTGGACTGAGGGCCCAAAGAGCTGAATTTGAATTCCAATCAAATCTATTATATTCACTTATGTGCTAATACCCTTGGGAAAGGTATGAATCTTCCTCTTCTCCCTCCCCCTATAGCAGGACTGGGTTCTATAGCCTTGGATGGCAACTGGTCTAGATGAAAGACAACTCTGGATTCAAAACCTGCAGAGGGCCGTTTGGGGACATTGTGGCACGTAGTACACCAGGTCTATGTATTCACCACTTCAAAAAGTGTGGTTGGTTCTGCACAAAGCCTTCACCACCGTAATCAAATCATGTGTGCTGGTGTCTGGACTGTCAGTTCCTAAGAATTGAGTTGCTGACCCTTATATGTCAAATATGACTGGAGAGTCCACCATATATATAATCCCTCACCGTTCACACGACTCAGAGTTTCATGCAAAATGCAATCTTCAGGTGCTGCTGAAGACTGTATTGTGCTATTGGTGAGGGTTAATAAGTATTAATATATACCTAATAGCTCCGTCGTATTAACACCAGCACTTTATGTGCTATATATATATATATATATATATATATATATATATATATATATATACACACACATACATACAATATTTGTTTTTCATCGTTTGGTGCAACTCTGAGTTTCATGCACATGGCAATTGTAAGTCACAAATTAAAAACTGACCATTGCAATATCTAAATAATTATATTCTAATGTAAAAATAGTGGATTATTTATTTATGAGAAAGATATAAAATAAATACATTTTAAGAAAATAGGCTACATAACTTCATTCAAACATGTTTCATTGAATAATATCGCCATATCATTGTCTATTTTCAAAATAATCCTTTCTATTCTCTAATCAGTTTCTTGATGTTAAGATGAAATTCATCAAGGAAGGCACCATAGTTTTTTTCTACCCAAATACTTTCAATCTCCTCCAAGATCATCTTCAGGAGTGAATTGCAAAACAAATTTATTGCAACTGTGATTGTTGTGATGGTGACATTTTAAAACATGCCTGAACACGCTCTATAATAATTTTCACGTGTTTTCAAAAATGTACCTACGGACCTGATTGACTTAGAGGGATCATTGTCAATCATGGCCTGCATCTCACCAACAAATTCTTTTCTTATCCAAACAATCAGCGTGAGTTTTCAGAGCTGCAGTGCCTTTGTAATCACCATTAGACTCATCCAACTCTTTCTGAATCCTCTACACTGTCCTCAGATTGACACCCAAACACTGAAATGTTTGTATAGGAACTTCTATCATGAATGCCAAGAAGTACAGCATGCTGCTTCCAAATTTCTGGCAGTGGAATTGCATCATGGTGCTCTTTTTCTCACATACTAACCCTACTATACTGTGTAGTAGACAACACCCAGTGTGTGTGTGTGTATATAACTGGCCACTTGTATTCAAGGATACCTGTCTACTAGGGCGGCTAGCCAATTCCTATTGCAGACACTTGCTCAGCTGCATTTGTGTTTATTCAACACCCACAGAGCCCACCTGTGGTTTTATACTGCAACTATGCTGAGCAGACCTTAGTTACAGTTTCTGGGAAAGAGCGTGTTATCTAGCGTGATCAACAATTTGAACAAGGCCAGCACACTCAAGCCCTCAGCCACGATGACTTGTGACTTCATACTAGCACAGCTATCGATGGACCCCCAAGGGTTCTGTCTACCCAATTTCACTCACAAGCCTTGGGTCAACCTGTGGTATGGTTTTCAGGCACTTTCCAAAGGGGACACATGCTGGCATCATCCCCTCCAGTCTTCTTCTTGACAAATTAACTATGGTGAGATTCAAACCCGGGTCTTATGGTCAGAATGCAAACGTTCTAACCACTCAGGGCCACATGCCCATCTGTGTGTGTGTGTGTGTGTGTGTGTGTGTGTATATATATAAAATGGATTATGATAGTATGTGAATATATATTCTCATTCTCTTATATATTTTGTAATTCACTCATTCACCTACCAATTCATTTTGTCTTCTAAGTAGACTGCTGTACTATCTTAACAGTAGATTGTAAATATTTTAAATATTACAAGGGACAATTTTCAATCGATGCCTAACAGTACTTCCTTATCTCGACAACTTGAGACTAAGGTTGAAAAAAATATTTAATATAATCCCAATATGTCCAGATAATCAAGAAAGTACTGTAATTTGATTATTAATTTAAATTTTTGATGCATGGGTTGCAATGACTAATGGCAAGAGATACTCACTCCGAATGGGCTGGAGGTGACTGAAGCAGCAGCTTTTCCAAGTCTGGAAACTTCAGTATTGTTACTGTACTTAATGAAGGGCCCAGTGCCCATGGCCATTTGCAGGATACAAGCCGGAAGCAGGTCTTTGCTTGGGAGGCTGGAAAAAAAAAAATTTAAAAAAAAAATAAACAAAAAAAATTTTTTTTAAATGTTTCAGTTTTATCAAGAAGCAATAAAAAAAAAAAAAAAAATGTGGGTAGTATAATGATTATTGGTTCAGAAAGTAGAATTGGCAGGCAAAGTTCAAATTCTTACCAAATCTGTTTCATTCTGCTTGCATTATTGCCCTTGGAAAAGGTATGACTACATCTTCTCCCATCTAAGGGTTAGACTATGTTCTTTTGCCTTGGGTGGTTGCCAGTCTAGGAGAAGGACAACCCTGAATTCAAAACCATGGACAAGGCAATGGAACCATTCCTATCATTCCAAAGGACAACTCTGAATTGAAAACCGACCTGAGCACAATCAGGTTCCTCTCAAGTCCCAAATAGACATTCCTCCATCCAGTAATTCATTTTTTTTTTTTTAATTATATTCAAAGATATTTTTATTCCAAATTGTCCTTCCCTTATGCTTATTAATATTTTGAAATAGTTACAATGTAGACAATTCCAAAACCTGGATTCTGAAATGTTCTCTCAGCCTTTTAGAGGATTTTTTGTCCTTTCTTTTAACCCCTACCCTATTATATTTTAGCATTTCTTCCACTCCTCATACCATTCCAATCACTCCACATCCATATCTGGGACTCAAGTGTAGACTGCCCAAGACACACCAATCTTGCTATGGCTGCAGTACATGTGGTGCCCCAAGAACCCTAATGTGTTACAGAACTCATCATCATGATCAAGAACAAAACATTTGTTCAATAAAATTCTTCAATATTTTCATTTTTACAAAAATGAAAACCCTTACTGATTTCAATCCTAAATTTTCCATTAGACTGGAAAGAAATTGTTCATTTTTTTTTTCATCTTAAACATAGAACTGAAAATATTTACAATGAATAAATAGAAATTAAATATTTTTATTTGAAAAATGAATTTACTATTGAAATAAATGACAAAATGATTATTTTTGTGTATATGAGGGTTAAACACTATGTCAAAAGGTCGGTTTTTCCTTTGACACCAATATTATTTTAATTACTTTAATTCCTGGGTAATGTTTATTGTTTTAAAAAGATATGATTAGAATTTTAATAAAATAATACTATTTATTACATTGTTTATTGGAATGGTTGGGAAAACATTGGCTAACTGCCAATCAATTCAAACTTTATAAATATCTGAATAAAAAATTGTTTTCATATTTATTTCTTTATAAATTAGTAAATCATAAATATTGCATTGCATTAATTTTAATGTTATTAGTTTTTAGAATGTTGTAAATATAAAATTATTCTTGTAAATAGACAATCTAATAAATAAATGATGTTTATTTTTGTGGTAAATTCTCAAGAACCAAAAAAAATGCATAAATTCATTTTCATGTTTAAGCTTTATTTGAATTCAAATCATCCCTTCTTAAAATACACATTGCCGAGGAGTGAACGTAATTAAAATGATAGTGTTGTCAAGATAAAAACCGTCCTTGTGTAGGTGCAAAGGTTAAAGGTTGCCATTAATTCTTTTTAAAAGAGGAAAAAAAAAAAACATTCACTTTACAAACTTGAAGAGTTCAAGGTTTTCAGAGACAAAAGAATTTTTTAAATCAAATTGTTAAGAAAATGGACAATTTTGTTTTACAGAACATATCAGAAAAGATAAAATGTTTTTATTTTTTTTTTATTTACATTTGGACAAATATCTTCATCTTTGTTGTTATTATTAAAACATTTCATTACTATTTTTCTTCAATTAAAACTTAATGAAAAGAGAAATAAGTTTGCAAAGCAGGGATTATCTTTGAGCTGAAACAAATGTTTTAATTGAAAGCTTTTGGGTTTCATTTCCAAAGACAGAAAAAATTAAATACATTAAATGATAAAAGTAATTCTGAGAAACATTCTGGTGAGTAATTAATACACTCATATCTTTTGTTTTAACAGATAAAAAGGGGGTAAAATCGGTCCAATAATGTTGATTGTCTGTAGTTACTGGCAATAAATCTGATCAACTCAAGCTTTTGTGCTACTGTTAAATTCACTCTTTGCCACTTTTCTACTCTTCCTCCAGATAATAAAGGTTATAGAAAATGATGAATATAGAACTACTTAAACATATTTGCAAAAAGGGGAATTCATAGAGCAATAAGTTACACATGTGGTTACATTGATGTAAACAAAGTGACAGCCTGTCAACTCACAAAGCAGCAGCTTGTATCCAGGATTGCCACAACTCTGTCCATAGTGTGCGGAACTTACAAACTGAGTCTGCAACTCCAGATTTTGTCTAAGTATCCATTAAAGGGAGGTCCATAATACCAAAGCATGAGTGTATTTTATAGGAGGAGAAAAAATGTGCAATGCCAAGTGAACTCTATGTGAAGGAGAGAAACTTTTTTTTTTTTTTTTTTATTAATACCCAAAGTACCAGTTGACAGGTAAAAGAATCATACAGACAGAAAGGAAATTAGGGAGTTTGAGTAATTTGGTACTGGCTATTTTTAGAATTGCACAGGCAGTTCTAAAATAGTGAAATTTACCGCAAATCTCCAGGGTTAGTATATTAGCAAATAAACAGGTTTCAGGGTTCAATGTGTTAAGTTGTAAACTGAACCCCCATTTTATAACTCATCTTGGTTGTTATACTCACAATTTCAGCAGCTGTACTCTTCAGCCTTCTTCAGGCTGTCTTACTCAGTAACATTGGAATTTCAAATTGAATTTATTTATTCATATTTGTTGTTTAACCATTTCTTTCACTGAACAAGAGCACATGACCTCTTAGCATAATCAGACATCAAACTCATGGCTCAAGGAAATCAAATGCTTTAACCAAAGAGACTTTCATATGGATGTCATGCATGGCCCCAAAGCTATTCAGAAATATCTACACTGTCAGCAGTATACAACCACTTTCTAAGATCAATGGTTTAAAAAAAAAGGCTTTGAGTGAACAAAGCCTGAGGATCTTAGCAAAGATCATCCTTCTTGAACCTTGTGGACTGGCACAAAAGAAACACAAAGAACTGTACTAAATAAGAGAAGCCACATCACTTAAGGACTAACAACAATTGCATCAGTTAAAATGGATAGCACCTATAACTTTAAGAGAAAATAATGACAAGTTTTCATTACTGTGATTGTTTTCAGTGATATTTTAAATGATTTTTTGTGACAAATTTTTTTGTACAATAATTTTTATAACTTGGAAATAAATTTGGGAATAATCAAATTTGCAAAATCCAACAAAAGTCACTCATGAAATGAAAATAATTGTTTGTACAGAAAGTAAGGACCTACATACATCAAATTGTCTTGGTGGCTTTTAAGCTATAATGATAATTGCTAATCTCAAAATTTCTGGTAAACAGGGGTGGGGGGAGGGAAGTTTTTTGCAATCTTTAAAATTTCATCATAATTTTGGTTCACCAGTCATGACCTTTATTGACAAGGACATAGAAAGGTTACAGTCTGGAATTCTGTCAATGTGAGATTTTCCTTTTTCCTTTTATTCAGAACACCAATAAAAAAAAAAAAAATAAATAAATAAATAAAAAAACTGAGGATGAGGTTTCCTTGTCTCAAATCATTTGATCACTTCCAACTGCATGGAAAGGTTAAGGCAGTAGGACATGAACAAAAGCTGATGGCACCCCCCCCACACACACACACCATCTGCAAGAAAGACGATGACCTCAGTTTTTTTGGATACAAATAGCATTGTGCTTATTGACTGTCTTCAAATGGGCCACACCATCAATGGAGAGTACTATGACAACTTGCTGAGGCAGTTACAAAAGGCTATCAAGGAAAACTGACAAAAAGGAAGCCTGTTTCATCAGGACAATGCTCCATCACACAAGTCCTTGATTTCAATGGCTACTGTTTGTGACTGTGGCTTTGAACTGGTTGATCACCCTCCCTATTCTCCTGATTTGACCCCATCTATCATCATGATTGGTTGGTTGGTTGGTTATGTTTTACAGGTTATCAACCCCTCATGGGTCATTTAAAACAGAGACATTCTTATATTTAATAATTTCCTTTTCCCAATCATTTGGTATTAACTTATTTTTTATGCAATCTTAGGCTTTTAGCAATTTTTTTCAATCAGTACTTTGTTAGTTTAGATATCAGGGTTTTTTTTTTTTTTTTTTTTATTTTATTTTTAGGTTTATATTTTTTGGTATAAATCCACTCTTGAGAAATTATATCATCCATCATTACTCTTTCAAAGAGATCCTTTATGTTGTTTATATTGAAGTATGTTTTCCTAGAGGGAGCAAGAGCTGTACACTCAGTCCAAATATGTTTTTATAGCTTATTCAGTTTGACATGTTAGACATATTGGTTGTTGTTCAACTTTCAATAAGTATGAGTGGGTAACTCTTGTATGGTGAATGTGCAAGTAGCAACCTCCCCACCCCCAAAAATAAACATTTGGCTGGAAAACAGTATTGTAGGGATAATGACATCATATTCGTTGTTGATGACCTTTTTTTGACCAACAGAATGAAAGCTTCCTCCCCAATGGGATCCAAGCATTGAAATCTCAATGGAAGAAGTAGGGGGGGGGAGACTATGTTAAAAAAAAAAAATAAACCCCATTTGGCCACATTCAGAATATTTTGCTTGGCCTATAAAATTTTCAGTTGACCCTCGTATTATAGTTGTTTGCGATAAAAGCTGGAGGAAAAGTTTTCAATTTATTTTTCACACTTTATCTAATTATCTTCCTTTTATTCTTTTTCAGATAATGTCAGAAGAATAAAGTTTTCTTGCAACAAGCATGAAACTGATAATACTTGAACATTGATCTTGGAGGCTAATGCCATTTTATTACAAGGTCACTGCAATTTGGAAGAAGGAGAATACAATTCAAGCAGAAAAAGTTGTGGAGAGAGAGCTTCACAGAGATTTGTCAACTAAAAACACAATTCAATGTCCAATACCAAGAGAGCAAAGATTTGAATTTTCAATGGAAGCAAACAATATAGAAAACAAAATTAACCAATGCAAGCAACAAAAGGTGTACAATACACTGACAGGCAATTACATGAAAATAATGAACTGGGGAAAAATAACAACAACAACAAAAAGGGTATATACAAAAGAGGTGCTGAAAAGTTCTCAGCCTGACCCACTCTCCAAAATCTGACTACCTTCATTAGGTACCATGTGTGATACACACTTAAGCAGTCATATATCTTTTCAAGATATCTTCTTGGACTGCCATTACTTTCTGTGGTAGACTGGTTGCCAACCAACACTATAGGACTCAGTATATCTTGCTATATAACCCATAGCATAAAGATGTATTTATACTTTTACAAAGGGTATTAATGTATAAACCAGACTGGAATTTGAAATCAGATTTCTGATTTTTCATTCCAACCCAAACACCCAAGCTTATAACATCTGGTAATCCCAATTATTCCTCCCATCTAGGTACTGACCAAGCTTGATAGTGCTTAACTTCAGAGATCTGACAAGAACTGGTGTTTCAACATGATATGGTCATAAATCTGACCAAAGGAGCAAAAATCACATTTCTTTCTCAGTCAGGGTCAAGAACTTTAGCACTCTCTTGATTTTGGACGAGCAAGCGTGGCGTTGGTATAAAGTGGGGGATCGATTCTTTATTATAATCAATTTATAACCCAATCCCCCATTTCTTGACCTTTCTATAGTGCAGAGAGAGAGAGAGAGAGAGAAAAAAAATAAATCTGTAAAACATGCTTGCCTTAGTAATCATCATTTCATTATGAAAGGTGTGGTCTGGTCATAAATTGAGGGACCAATTCTCTGCCATGAGATGTGCTAATATTTAAACAGACTTACAACAACCATAAGCTAAAAACACAACATTTTTTGTACATTACAAAGTAGTGGGCACTTCATTCATTCAGGCATGAATATATATATATATATATATACATACATACATACACAGCAAGAGAAGAGTTCAAAAATTTGAAGTCACCCTCAGAATCAACATGAGATGAACTTGACAGAAGAGTGAAAAAAAAAAAAAAAAAAATGAAAAAGAGCTCTTAGTGTCATTAAAAAAAAAAAAAAAAGAATGGAATCAATTATAAAATTTATGCTTTGAGAAACTTTTGCAAAGAATGCCAAAAATTTGTGCTGCAGTAATCAAGGCTAAAGGAGGATATTTTGATGAGAGCAAAAGTTAATAAAATGCTTTTTTCTTTTTGTCATAATAAAATTTCTAATAAAACAAAATCATGTCTCTCTCTTTTTTTTTCTTAAAACCATGAATAATAATTTTCTCTTATTTAAAATACAAAACAACTACATTTGGGGGCCAATTTAACTTACTAAGGGTGGCATATATATATATATATATTATATACACACACACACACACACAAACAAACAGACAGATACAGTAATCCATAACATTCAGGTCTGAGCTTTTAGACGACCACCGAGATGGACCAATTAGAGATGGTGTATTTTCTTAAGAATAAATTTGCTTTTTTTTTTCTTTTTTTTACTGGGCATTCTGTAGTATAGGGTTTATACATTGTTTCCTGCTTAAGATATGGTTTCCATTAAAAGTAACTCAACTCTTTGGTGACTGATCAGTGGCTATGACTCTGAGGGTCCTGGCTTGGCAATTTAACCATATGAGAAAAATTTTTGTTAATAATCTTAAATTCTATTGGTCTGAGCACCACGCCTCCACATCAGTAGGTTTTTTGGTGTTTTTTTTATTTATTAACCAAAAAATTATGTCACTGATAAGGTACTTTACCCACTTGTTTTTTTTTACTTAGAAGTTTAGGAAACTTACACTAACTTAATCAACCTTATGAGCCAGATAGCAAAATTTATCTCAATTCTGATGAATAGAGAGCATAGCATAATTAGAATGGAAATTCAGTAAATATACTAAAATAAAAAATGGGGGGGGGATAGAAAACAAAGGCATGTTTTCTCATGGGTTATATTCAGACTTTACTTTGAGACTATACAGAGAGAATTACAAATCCTACCAGGATTCATTATTGCTGACCCAAAATCTAAACATAAGATATGTAGACAATTCTAAATATCTCTGAGAGGAATTTTTTTTTTTTTAAATTTTATTTAATGTAGCCAGTCATTCAAAATAGAGAATACAAGAAAAAATCAACTGAATGAATGATATAAAACAGTAAAGAACTGTTGCTTACCAACCTTTTTTTTATAACAGGTGGGTGGAGGTGTGTTCAGACCAATCTACAGCCTTCTTCCAGGAATAAATCATAAGAAAAGGAAGTGGATTCTTTTTACAGAAATGCTTCTTTTATGTGGCATGTTCCATCAGGATATAGGCGGTCAGGCTCTCCACATCTTCCTGTCCCTTGTAGCTTTTAGTAAGTTTTGTTTTTTTGCTATTACTCCCAAACCGTGTCCTACCATAGATTTTCTCAAATCATCAAGTATGTTATGTGCTGCTTTCCTCAATCTGTCCTGTGAGGATCAGATTTTCCAAACCCTCCTTCTTCGTTACATGCCCCAGAAATTTTGACTGTTTCTTCATGATTTTAAATATAAGTTTTGTTTTTGTTTCCATTTTCTCTAAAACCTTGTTGTCCACATGTTTGGTCCTCAACAGCAAACTGAAAAGGATAATTCGACCCTAAGTCATATACAAGGGTATGCCAGGTATTTGTCTTTTGCAGGACATCAATGAAAGATGACCTTGTGTCATGTTACACAGCAATGTGCCAAATTTTAATGCATTTTTTTCTCTCTTTCAGACTGAGAGAAATTAACATGTCGGGTTCAATTTGATTTGTTTCTTCCAAAGAAAAAAAGGAATGTAACTTTGAATTCGATTGACACATCCTTTATTTCTGATCTGCCACAAAACGTCAGTCCAAGAGTTGCAATAATAAACAATTGAAATTAAGATGCCTAGAAAAACAGTCAATTGAAATTGAGATGTTGATAATTGTTCATATTTATCTTTTTATCCAAGTATATTGTCAGTAATAGAAAATGTTAATAGACCTCTTTTTATTGCAATGGTTGCCTATCAATTTTTCATATGAGGAATCTGGATATAAGAACTAGCATAGTACTTGATGGGTGGGGAATTAGGTTAATTTATGTATGGATAAATTATGCAAATATATATATATGATGTAGTGGAATAACCAGTCACCCCCATGAATGATTACACTATAGGTAGTAAGTACCTATAAAGTTAACCATCTACAAGAGACTCGAGGAAGAGGGAGAGCGAGACATCACAAGCACATCCGACCCTCCAATTAGTGGCACTCACTACTAGATTGACCTGTGTGTATAACTGTACCGTATTTCATATTGTATTGGTTGTGTACAATAAACCTTTCTTCTATTATCGACCTGGTATTAAGTATTTATTCCTTTAGCACTGAATATGACAATATTGCTAACAAAAAATACATACACCAATCAAAAATGTATTTTTATGACAATTTTTCTACAATATTTCATATTTTCTGCTTAATAATTTAAAAACAAAATTGATAATGAAACTGAGACAGTAGTAGTAGTATTACTAGCAGCAGCTGTCTACCTCCAGCAAACACACAAAGATTGTTTCTTTTTCAGAGTTTTGTAACTATTTTGAACATTATAAAATTGTTTTAAAAAGTTGATGGTAGTAGATGCAAGCTAAAAAGCAAAGAAAACAATCTAGTCAACAAGCAAAAACTGGAAAATATTGACACTCACTGCATTTTATTGTAAAGCAGTCAAGAGTCAAACACTTACCGTTTTGTTCTTCCATTTATGCTATGAGGGGAAGAAAAAAAAGCAAGTGTTGGTCTTAAATGTTTTTCAAGAAATAATCAGCACAATGTAAAAATAAAAAAGGCCAGCAGAAACAATCTTTTAACATTGTTCAGATACACAAACCTCTTTCAATATTTATTATTAGCACAACATTTCGACTGATCCATTCTCCAGTCTTCTTCAGGTATAACTGATTAAATGCTCAAACCTCTTTTTTGAATATTTATTATTATTAGCATAACATTTTGACTGATCCATTCCACAGTGCTAATCTGGTTTAATTGATCAGATACGCTAAACTACTCTTTGTATATTTATCCATACTCCAGTATTCATTAGGTTTTGTTGATTAGATTTTCAAACCTTTTTTGTATATTTATTGTTATTAGCACAACATTTCAGCTGATATATTCTCCAGCCGTTACCAGATCTAATTGTTACTTCTTATTTGTGTATTTATTTTTATTAGCAACATTTTGGCTGATATTTCCCTGATCAGTTTGTAAGTTTCAAAAATTCAAATATACAAAAATAGGTTTCCTTTCCTGATCTTTTAAAACAAACTATGATTAATCTGACACCTCTTCAACTTTTTTTTTTTTTATATCCTAAACAACAAACAAGTTATACTTATCTTTGTAGACATTTCTCACATAATTATTGCAGACAGTCCATTTTACAGTCATGGACGTGTAATTAATACAAATATTTTGACTAAAACCAGAAATTTTTTGTAGTTACTTGACAAGAGAAATTCAGAAAGCTACTTGACTAATCCTGAATATTTGACTAGCCATTTACTAAATATTAAGAAAAAACTTTGTTGAATGTTCAAACACCTCATGGGACTAACAGAGAGTTAAAATATTTTTCCAGTTACATCAATATGAAGTAATTCTAGGGGAATCAGTTTATTACTTAATAAGAATACAAAATCGATCCTCCACTTTATGTCTTATAGCATCTTCTATTATTGTTGGTTTATGGTCATGTGCTTGTAATTCACGCACACATTTGACTAAAACCTGAAACTCCTTGTAGTTTGTTGTAATGGAATGTCCTACACTCCCTATTGTCTATGTGGACAGACTATATCAGTAGATATATATAGTGAGCACAGGATATACCTAGTGAACTTGCTTTGGGAATTACTAGCTTGCTAATTGATTACCTGTCTTGCAGTTGTTTATTCTCTTTTACAATAAACCTCTCTTTCTTTCATCTACATCTGTGTTGCTGTTCCTTTCACTCAAGTACCACCTTTGTCTGCTTGTAACCTTCTTTAACAATACAACATACTTATTTGACAAGAGGAATTCAGTAAATTACTTGACTAATCATTAATATGTGACTAGCTACTTGCTAAGGAAAAACATTTTGTCAGGTATTCAAATACCCCATGGTAATAACGGAAGGTATTCAAATACCCCACAGTAAAACAGAAGGTTAAACAACTAGTTTTTCAATAGAATAAATAAAATATTCTTAATTTTATTGTTTTTCCAGTATACCATGTTCAATGAGAAATTTAGCAATATGACAAGGAGCTTAATACATATATGTTGGACAAATCCTGATTGTTCCGAGGATTATTGAGGGTGTCAGGGAAAAGAATCTACAGGCTGTTTTATTTTTTGTAGATTTCTCCAAAACCTTTGATTCTGTACATAATGGAAGATCCTACTGGCACATGCCCCCACCCCTAAGACAATAGATGCCAGAACGATGATATACACAAATACAAAGTCATTGGTTAGATTCCAAGACAGAAACACTAACTTCTTCGACTTCAACGCAGGGCTCCTTCAGGGTAACACTCTTACACCTTTTCACCCTTGACTACATATTTAGAACTTCCCTTGACAAACATCATCATATAGGTTTTACTTTATCACCAAAACAAGTTGATATCCTGCAAAAAAGTTGACAGATATTGACTATGCAGATGACTGCAGACATCATTACCAATGCCACAGTTCTCCTACATCATCTAGAAAATGCTGCCAACAATGTCAATGCCTCTAAAACTGAATTTTTAAGCTTCAACCCAGCAAGGCTCAATACAAATAGTCTCAGGTTAATCAATAAAACCTGTTGAATCTTTTACATACCTAACAGGTGAGATAAATTCTACTGAAAAGGGTGTGAATATTTGCCCACCTAAAGTCTGGACCACCTTGAATAAAATGGATGTAATCTGGAAATCTTATCTAACAAGCAAAGATTCTTTCTAGGCACTGTAGATGTAGTTTTAATGTATGGTGCCACTGTTTGGGCATTAACTAAAACCCTAGAGTCTAAGCTTGATGGAACCTACACTTGAATGCTTAGAGCTATACTTAACGTCTCTTGGAGACAAGGATTCTTCTTGGATGCCCCTCAGTGCCATTGTTATGGCCCTCTTGATGGGCTCCACACCTTCAAAACATACCCCCTTGATATTGAAGAAAAGAAAAAAGTCACATGGAGCAAGATCAAGTGAATAGGGAGATTGTTCCAGTAAGGCAATATTCTTCTTGGCCAGGAACTGCCAGACACTCAGGACGTTGTAAGCAGTTACATTGTCATGGTGAAACAACTACGATTTGTCCTGCCATGACTCTTGCATATCCAAAAAAAAAAAAAAAAATAATGCAATGGTTGCAGAAAGCTAAGATTACAGTTATATACTCCCAAGATATAATGTCAGATGATAACACAATACGCTTATCCATCTTTCGCCCTGAGCTCACACAACACACCCAGTCCCATTACTTTTCAGACAGAATTTGTATAAATAATGTTCTTTAAAATATCAAAAGATTTGAAATGTGAAAGTTCACTTTATATTTTAGCAATATTTACAATTAAGAACTTTGACTATATTTTATAATTAATGATAACGATTTTTTTTTAATTCTCCAAGCCCAGTGCAATTTCAAGAATACAACATCCTGGCATTTAAATATAATAGCAACCATAATGAAATGTTGTGCATATAGTTTTAATTGTCTGGAATAATTTTTTTTTTCTTTAAAAGTGAGAAGTTTGTGATTTCCTTACAAAAAAAAAAAAGTTAAAAACACAGAAAACCAGAAATTAAAAATGCAAATTAAATTTGATCAAAATTTTCAAAATTAAAAACTTCATATACATCTGATAATTTTGAACTTCAAATAGACAGGCCAAGACATTTATTCAAAAATCTACTGAGGACATCCTTAATTCCAGCCACCCCTTTTATTAAATATTCAGTAAATTTCTTATCCCTTAATTTAGGTTGTGATCATTCTAGAACAAAAGGTTTTATTTGAATATTTAATTAAAAGGGGTAGTTGAAAATGGAATGTCCTCATAGATTTTCTCTAATCTATTGTCGTGACCTACCTGAAAGTCAAAAACACTAATCTTCCCCCACTAATGCCCACCAATGGTTTCAATGGTTAAGAAAAAAAAAACAAATACTACTCTAGGAAAAAAAAAAAAAAAAAAAACAATGCATGTGATATAAAAGCAAAAACTCACACCACAAAAAAAAAAAAAAAAAAAAAAAAAAAAAAAAAGGTCTTTCTTTCTTACCAGGGTCCTTCAGTAGCCAATGCAGCGGTCACAAGTCCATTGCCATTATTAACCCTGATTTCACCTGGACCAAAGAAAAAAAAAAAAAATTGAACTAACACAAACACTAATTTACTGCTACTGACATTAATAAAATTACAGTGGTTTCCCTTCCAACACCTTATTTAGTTAGTGATGCTCAATCCTAGAAATAAAAAATACATTGTTAAAAGCATAAGAGAAGTGATAATGGCAATAACCATTACTGGCACCAAACCACTGGCACACAGATGAAAAATGAATTAAGGAAATATACAAAAATAGAAACGGGTGTAAGACAAGGATGGGTTTTCCACTTAGACTTATTGGTGGCCACAATCTTAACATAAGATATGCAGATGACACAGTGCTGGTAGCAGACACGGCAAGAAAATTACAAAAGCTCTTACAGAAGGTAGTGAAGGAAAGCAAGAAAAAAAGGACTAAACTACAAGAAAACAGATTGCATGATTATTAGAAAAAGAACGAGCCCAAAAGGCAAATAACAAATCGAAGATACCAAAATCAAATATGTACAATAATATCTGGGAAGTGTTTTAACAGAGGACAGAAAGTGTTACACGGAAATTCGAAACAGCATTGGAATAGCAAAAGATGCCTTCCAAAAGCTAAGCAAAGTATTGAAAAACAGGAAAATTTTGTTAGAAACAAAGAAAAGAATACATAAGATCAGTCCTCATATATATCAGTAAATGCTGAAAAATCTTCTCAAAGATGAAGAATTGAATCAACAGAAATATGGTTCTACAGAATGCTGAGAATACCATAGACCAAACATGTGAGCAACGACAAAGTTTTAGAGAAAATGAAAACAAAAAAGACATTTTATATCAGGAAGAAAAATTTCAAGGGCACATAAGGAAAGAGGGCTTGGAAGATTTGATACTCAAAAGGACAGATTGAAGACAAGAAAAACAGAGGAAAACAATGCATAACCCACCTAGAGAGCTTGAGTAAATGGATGAGAGAACAGGGTTTAAGAGAAATAACAAAAAGACAAAATTTATTAAGAGCTACAAAGGACAGGAAATTGTGGAGAGCCATGCTTGCCAACATCCTGAAAGAACACGGCACATGAAAGATTATTGCTAATTTCTTATTCTGCTCCATTTATGCATTAAGGTTTATCATGAGTAAGTCATTTGTAGCTAAAAATGACTATAGCTTGGATTATAGTGAGGGAGAGTTGTACATATGTCTTTATTTTCATTCATGTATAGTGTGTTGTGGGCAACTAGACCTGGCGGAGCCCATCCCTCTCCAATTCAAACCACAGCTGTTCTCTGACTTGAAAACTGATTTTCATGAGAAACAGAAATATATGAACAAATTTGCACACATATAAGATACAAATTTAAAGAAAAAAAAAACTATGGCAAAATAATACACTGCTATTATGACAAGAGGGAATCTAATGAAGCTAAAAAGGAAAGCAATAGGGACTTGAAAGAGTTGCAGTGAACAGACATTCCCTAAATACCCTCATAAAACAAGCATCTTGAAAGTGTCAAATATAATTTATGGTAACTGTTGTATCATAAACAGGAAAGCGTGACACACATAGAAAATATGAAGTAGTTTAATTCTGGAGAATAATATGATACACGGTTGAGAACAGAGACTAATGCAATAAACAGTTAATCGTTAAATACTCCCACTCAGTAAGAGAGAGTGCTGTTTAAATAGTCTTAGACCAGTCCATCTTGTGGTGGTGTTCAGCTACTCCACAACAGTAACATGCATATAAGGTAAAAAAAAAAAAAAAACATCTTACCTCCAGCATATTTGGCCTTTTGTGTACTGATACCAGATGATGGGTTTGGTTTGAAGCTAGAACACAAGCCTACCAGATGGTCATGGTCCACTCCAACACCCACAATCGCCATACGGTCAACGGTGTAGAAGTTCTGGACATATTCCTCAAGCTATCAGAGGAAAAAAGTAATTTAAAGTCAAAGATTCAAATGAAAATTAAATTTACAAGTATAAAAAAAAATATGGAAAATACATGTTTACCTAAGTTTATAAATTTTTAGCACTCTGGAGATCATTTTGTTTTCTAAGCAAAATTTTTCTGCTGTCATATTTATATAAGGGTACATACTATCCCCCACCCGAGGATTAAGCGGGTACACACTATCTTCTGAGATAAAGGGGGCATACTCTATCAGTTCTTAGAGCCAAACAGCCAGTCTACCCATACATATGATTTGCTTATAGTGGTGAAGGCTTGTGCCAACAGGTGCACAGTGTGCCAAAAGGTCTCCAAATAACCCATCCCAGGTTTTGAATTCAGAGTTGCCTGTCTAGACTTGCTATAGGGTCTAGTCTGCCTTGCTATTTTACCCATAGCTGAAGGGTGAAGAAGAGATGTATTTATCATACCTTTCTCAAAGGTATTTGTGTATAAGTGAATGTAACAAACTCGACTGGAATTCAAACTTGGCTCCCCAATTTTTAAACCCAATGTACTTTCCATTACACCAATAATCACCATATATATATATATATATATATATATATATATACACACACACATCACTTACATGTTATTTTTAATGTATACTCATATTTGAGTTGACACTCCGTTTATTATTCAGGCCAAAAGACAAAAATAAATGTACTGTTTAATAAATAAATGAAATGTCTACCCAAACATAAGTATCTACTAAAAATAACAACATTTAAGTAATTAAAATCTGTCTAACCAATAAATAAAAAAAATCCATTCCTTTCTTTAGGAAAAAAAAAAAAAATATATATATATATATATATATATATATATATATTAGTTAGAGGTGAAGAAATGCAACAAATGTCAGTCCCAATTTTATATTGAGAAGCATAATATGGAATACTTAGCTTTAAATAAATAATCATTTTATACGATTTCAGCAGCTGATGTAGCTAAATACATGAACTTAACACCATTTGTTATTTTTTTTATCACTATTGTTTTTAAATATTTTCTGTAACATTGCAGCCAACATTTGTTGTATTTCTCCCCTGTGTGTGTGTGTGTGTGTGTGTGTATATGCACACATGTATAATTTAAGATTTAAAAGTGAAGCAGATATTTTCATATAGTACACAATATTAAAAAAATAGAGCATTGATAATATTTTTTATATATATACAAAATAATTACTTAATTGTAATTTTCCCCAACACCACAGTTTTCAAGGAGCCAATAAATATTTCCAGTTGTAATGGATATCAGTTTTTTTCAATTTTCATATCTGTGGGCTTTTAAACCCTGTCTAATATTATATATAATATTAATAATAGCAAATGTAGACTGTGTTTAGAAGAAAAATTTTATATAATAAATTTCAATAATGAAATTATTAAACAAAAGAAATGAATTAATGGGTAAATGCAGACATTTTAATAAATATTTACTTTGCAACTTGCATACTAGTATAACAATAACACAGTACAATACATACATATAACATCAAACATATACAAACAAAAATAGAAATGAAAAATAAAAATTGCAGAATAAATATTGTAAAAAAATTACGTTTATGTATGAACATGTGCTTGTCCATTACAGAGAAAAGTGTACATATTACCACAAAACTGTAGAGTCAGGGAAAATTGCAGTTAAGTAATTGCTGTGTGTGCATATATATATATATATATATATATATATAAAAATAAAAACCCTTAAGATAATATTAAAAAAATGTGTCACTTTTTCCCCAGATAATCAATAAATCTTAAACTATATATTCAGTAAGAAGAACCTTTATTAATCAAACTATAACCACTTAGGGGTTCGTTCACTTTTGTGACACTATTTAGCTGTGGTAATTGGCTAACTAATTAACCATAAAAATTAAACAAGGAAATGCTGGAAATGGAGAGAAGATAGCCAAAGAGATATACGGTTCGATATTAAAAAGATTTTATTTTATTTCCAAAAAAAAAAAAAAAAGTTACTGTTCACCAAAGGCAGTAGACCCGTAGAAAAGCCATATGTGAGATTTTGACACATTGATTGATATTGTTGTAAAGAAATGCCTTGCTGAAGGAAACATGAGAATTCAAAAAAGCAAAGCATTAAGATATCGGGTAGACCACATGGCGGTCATAAAAAATTTCAGCCTGAGATGATTGCCGATACGGGGGTAAAGAGAATCAATATTAATTATCTTCCCAAGATATCATTTTTTTCTTGAGTGCCAGCAAACAAAAGCCATATGGTATTTGTGGGAATTTTGGCATAAGAGAAAAATTTATTCAGATACGGCTGGAGAGGATTGTTGTTATTTATTTTGCCAAAGTGTCACTTTCAGACACTGAGACGTTGAGTAGCAATATGGTGATTATAAAATTTTGGGCATGAGAAAAGATAGTGCGGAAGAATTGTGATTTAGTGAGATAAGGAATTTAATTTCTCAAGAAGCCAAGGGTTCCAGTAAAAGCTAACTTCATGAAGGGACCAGATGGCAAACTTTGACAGTGATTGATGGAACTGGTAAAGAGTATGGCTAAGTGGATTCTGAGTGACCAAAAGATCAGATAGATTTTAAATGGCAATGTGGAATTCATAAAATTTTGGCTGATGGGAAAAAAGGAGAATTTTGTAAACAAAAATTCTGGGTTATAATTTTAAGGAGGCCAGCGTAGCCACACCCACACGGCCGGGATGCTATTGGTCGAGTGGTAGCAATGGTGATAGGTGGAGGTGAATGGACGAGAAGGACAGAGAAGTTATTAACGCCCACTAAAGGGATTGGTATGAGATATCAATGAGAGAGAGGAAGAGTTTAAGAGGATAGCTTTACTCCAACCTCCCCTTATGGATGAGGGAGACCCCCCCCCACAAAATGGAAAGTGATTAATTTTCGAAAAATGAGAAGTAATCAATTTTCCTGGCCTGACAACAAAAAGATTTCTTGTTGGGAATCGAGATTTACCAAGAACCCAAGGCCACGTCTGGCTTCACACCGAGTTTTGGTCGGTATCCATATAAACGAACGTCCTCAGGCCGTTCGACAGTACAGTTCAGTTAGTTCAGGTAGCGGGAACCAGAGTGTTGCTTCACAGAAGCTGACTGAGAGATTCCACAACCTCCAACTTCGCCTATCCTACGAATAGCAAGTTATACTGATGAACAAAGCCAAGCTAGCACCTAAGAACTAAACCAGTTGACTTAAGATACTAAAACTTGCTTAAGAAACATAGAAGTGTCACAACTCATAGAAAACAGGCTGGGAGGAAAACACACTCCTGTATATAACAGATGGATAAAGTTAATTTTTTATTTCTTAAGATACTTGAACCTCTTGGGTTTTTTTATTTATTTGCTTCTTATTACTTTACGCTTGTGCAATATCACCTTCAGTCTGGACTCAACTTACACTATGGCCCGACACCTGATTGATCTCGTCTACCTAAGATCAAAATCACAACATGGGTAGGTTAGACTTGAGATCAAAGCAGTTACTTCAGTAACCTGACGTTGGAAGTGAGCTGGGAACAACGGAGCTGGTATTGAACCGGGTACAACCACCGATCGACCGAGACACAGGCTGGAGGCAGTGACTAAGAGTTGACCACAGGCTGACAGCGCAGTGTCACACTTTTATGCAGCACTATATATATATATATGCATACTATCTCACACCTCTAGCATGACTGAGTTTTATGCATGACTCCCAAGATGTAAACCTTAAACTAGAATAATGGTTGTTATAAACCAGACACCAAATATTTATGCAATATTAAATATGTTAGCAAATTGTCCAATCACCCCAACACAATTCTAGATAATTTACATAAATCTGTACAATTGTAGCAATAAGGAGATATTTA